GCTGTTTGTCATTGTTGAAAGGAACTTTGCTTATACTAATTTACTTACTAAAATATAAGTAATGGGTATTGACTCAAGGTAAAGATTGTAGATACATTTATTAAATGTCATTCTCTTCTCATACCACATACATAGAGGGTATCACTGATCAATTAAATAATATTCAACAAGTTAAATAAATAAATCATTTTTTGTTTTATTTTTAAATTAATTCTTAGGTATGGAAGTGGGGATAAAAAGGTGCAAGTCCTCAAGTTAAGCCAATTGGTTAACTTGATGGTAAGAGAGGAGGGAGTCTGGATCAAGGAGTTAAGGTATTAGGGAGGAATGAGAAGATGATGGAAGAGAGGACCATGACCACTTCTCCATACCCTCTTAAACTGAGGTCGAGCTGCTAGGGGTACATATGCATTTATTATCTTTACCACTTTTTCATTTAGGGACTAGAGGATAATCTACCTATTCACATTTAACCCAATCCTGCATTTTACATTGGGTTCAGTTGTCCACAAATGATCTTTTACTCCATGCCCCCATATTCCAGTAACTAATCTACTTGACTCTCCCAACCATACTAGGTCAAGATCAATTTATAATATTATCTCAATCCATAATGCCACTTAACCTGACACAAATTCTCAAAAAGATATTGACCCTTAGTAACTTCATAGAGTTTTAGATACCATGCAGAACTTGAAGTTCAAAAGACCTCGACTTGCCAAAGCCATCCTGAGAAAAAAGAACAAAGCTGGAGGCATCACTCTGCCTAAGTACAATTATACTACAAAATGACAATAATCAAAACAGCATGGAATTGGCAGAAGAACAGATACATGGACCAGTGGAACAGAATCGAGAGTCCAGAAATAAACCCATGTTTATATGGGCAAATAATTTTTGACAAAAGAGCCAAAAACATACAGTGGAGAAAGAAAAGCCTCTTCAATAAATGATGCTGGAAAAACTGAAAAGCCACCTGCAAAAGAATGAAACTAGACTGTTGTCTATCACCACACACCAAAATTAACTCAAAAATGGATTAAGGACCTGAATATAAGACCTGAAATAATTAAGTGCACAGAAGAAAACATAGGAACTAAACTCAAGGACCTTGGACTTAAAGAGGATTTTGTGAATTTGACCTCAAAGGCAAGGAGTGTAAAAGCAAAAGTAAATGAATGAGACTTCATCAAACTAAAAAGCTTCTGCACTGCAAAAGAAATTGTCAACAAGGTAGAGAGACTACAATCCGAATGAGAAAATGTATATGCAAGCAAAGCCTCCAATAAGGGCCTAAAATCCAAAATATACAAAGAACTCAATAACTCAATAACAACAAAACTCAAATGATCCAATCAAAAAATGGGAAGAGGATCTGAACAGACATTTCTCCCAAGAAGACATACTAATGGCCCACAAACATATGAAAAGATGCTCACCTTTACTAGCTATTAGGGAAATGCAAATCAATGAGATACCATCTCACACCTGTTAGAATAGCTATAATCAACAGGACAAGTAATAACAAATGTTGGAGAGGATATGGAGCAATAGGAACCCTCATACACTGCTGGTGGGACTGCAAATTGGTACAGCCACTACGGAAAACAGTATGGAGGTTCCTCAAAAACTAAAAATTGATCTACCATATGATCCAGTAATCCCTCTACTGAATATTTACCCCAAAGACTTGAAAACTGATATCCAAAAAATATGTGCTCCCCGATGTTCATAGCGGCATTATTCATTGTGACTAGGACATGGAAGCAACCGAAGTGTCCTACAATAGATAATTGGATAATGAAGCTGTGGTACATATATAAAATGGAATATTACTCAGCCATAAGAGATGAAATACTGCCATTTGTGACGACATGGATGGATCTCAAGATAATCATGTTCAGCGCAATAAGCCAGACAGAAAAAGTTGAAAATCACATGATATCACTTATATGAGGGATATAAAACTAAAAGCAACAAATGAACAGAACAGAGATTCATGGACATGCACAATAGACTAGTGATTACTAGAGGATAACAGGGAGGAGTGAGAAGGGAGGTAGATGGCATAAAAGGGGATAAATATGTGGTGACATTAAGGAATTAAAAATAAGTTTCTGTGAATACCTCTCCCCCCCAAAAAAAGAATAATGACATGTTTAACTTTTAAATAACCACTCATTTGTCAAAAAAGTTCCACACATTTAAAAATATGAATAATTAATTATGCAAATTAAATCAATTACATGAAAATAATTCTTACCTAATAAAATTAATGCAGTGATTTTAAAGTTTAAACCATATCCAATGCAAAAAAGTTTAAAATTCACATGAAACTGTTACACAAGAAACAAGTTTGAAAAGCTATTATGAGTTGAATTGTGTCCCCTAAAAAATGTCGTGTTAAAGACTGTGATCTTATTTGGAAATGGGGCCATTGCACATGTATTTAGTTAAATGAAGTCATACTGGAGTAAGTTTGGCCCCTACTCCAATATGACTGCTGTCCTTATAAAATGGCCATGTGAAGACAAACACACAAGATGTGGCTATAGTCTTGAAGACTGTCCGAGGACAAATTATGTGCTTATTAGAAAATGTATAGATCAAAAATATGGGGTTTTGTTGAAGTCGCCTGTCAGAATCTATGAAAATTTCTAGATATTTATATACCTGTACAGAAGGCCTTAGCATGCCTTAACTCAACTTTTAAAAGTCTAAATATCTAATCTAACTAAATAAAATATTTCTCCATTTAAAAGAGAGGAAAAAAAAAGAAATTAGGCTTCAAAGTTAAAGAGACCTGAGCTGGATTCCAGAAACAAGCTTTGGAGCTTTAAATAAATTATTTAGTGTCTCTTACTTGCAACGGATTCATCATTTAAATGAAGATGATACCTACGTCATGAGGATGTTGAGAGAAATAAAATAAATTATAAATAAAAATCATTTGGTACAATGCCTGGCACATAGTAAGCTTTTAAATATTATTTAGATGATAAGGATGATGATAGCCTTAAGAAACAGTGAAGACTTTTCCTGTGGGAGCCATCAGGTTGAGAGGAGCATGGTCATCTTCTCTCCCCACCATGGCGTGTTCTTATTGACTGTTATTACTGTACTCTGAAAAAGAGGAATCATCTGGCAAAATGTCACTTTGTCTGCTGTGTTCAAGACTCCCATTTGACCAAGAATTGTGAACTTTGTTCATATCATCTTGTACAAAAATAATAGAGAGCCCTGTGCTGTCAGTAAATTAGCAGGTCATCAAATCAATTCTGAGTCGTGGGGTACTGACAGAACTATGGCTCAAATTCCCAGAGTTCAAGGCAGTGGGACTGATCGTTCTGGCCAGGGTGGTTTTGGCAATATGTGTTGTAGGGGCTGCATATTTGCGCCAACCAAAACCCGGAGCTGTTGGCACTGCAGAGTGAACACAACACAGAAGCGATAGGCCATCTTCTCTGCCCTGGCTGCTTCAGCCTTACCAGTGTTGGTCATGTCTAAAGGTGTTATATTGAGAAAGTTCCTGAACACCTTCTTTGATGGCTGAAGATAAAGGTGAAGGCTATGAAAAGACCAAGGAGGCTGTTTTGTTCTTAAAAAAATTGAGGCTTGGAATGTTATTTAAAAAAAAAAAAAGTCTGTGCATCTCAGCAAATAAAAGCTCGTAAGGGCAAAATGAGAAATCATCTATAATGAGGACAACGGTTTCATCAAAGCCTTCAGAAGCATCCCTGGAATTATTCTGCTTAATGTAAGCAAATTGAGCATTTTAAAACTTGCTCCTGGTGGGCATGTGGGCCATTTATGCATTTGGACTGAAAGTGCTTCTTATAAGTTAGATGATCTATATGGTATTTAGTGTAAAGCTGCCTCCCTCAAGAGTAACTACAATCATTCCATGCACAAGATATTCAGTAAAGACCTTAGAAGAATCTTGAAAAACCCAGAAATCCAAATCCTCAGAGCACCACACAGGAAAATTCATTGCAGAGTCCTGAAGAAGAATCCACTGAAAAACCTGAGAATCGTATTGAAGCTAAATGCATATGCAAAGACCATGTGCCAGAACACTACTCTTCTCCAGGCCAAGAACCATAGCTCTAAGTGGATAAAGCAGCAGCAGCTCTAGAAACCAAATAATATGAGAAGGGGGTTCCAGGTGAAAAGTCAGTAGTAGGAAATAAGGAAAAGCGGCTGTTGGCATTTTGAAGCAAAAGAAGCTTTTGATGGGGAAAAAAAGGCTACAGCTACCAAGAAACCAACAGCTGAGAAGAAGCCCGATGGGACGGGAGTCGGGGTGGGGTGGGGACACCACAGAAGAAGTGAAGCTTGTGCATAAACTAAAATTCGTTTATTCCACAAAGATCAAATTACTTTGGAGAGCTAATTTTGAATAAAAGCCTGATCAAAGCAAAAGGAAAAAAAGAAATGATGAGGAAAAAAGTAATAATATGACCAAGATAATTCCCTTTCTCTTCATTGACATTAAATTCAATCAGCCCCCTGAAATCAGGACTCGGTGTCTGACATTTATTTTAACCTCGAGGTTTCTCTTGTCTCCAAGAAGTTTATCGTTGTTTGAGTTTCTCAAATGTATTTTGTGTCCAAAAAGCAATGTCAGGAAAGAAACACCAGATACACCACCTTCACGCATTCTGCATTTGGAACTTTTTCAGCAGGGCCAACATCACGCTCATATAGGAAAAGTGCCACCTGAGCCAAACATCATTTCTGGATACCACTTGAAGCTTTGCCTCTAAGAGGCGCTTGGGAGAAGTTCTAGGATATTCATTCCATTTTCTAGCTTTGTTAAAAGTTCAGGTCACCAGAACTTGACTGAGTTTAAGAACAATAGAGAAGTAGTGGACAAGTAGTTTCAGCTACTTTGTGAGTCTTCTCAAGCAGGTTGGTACACTGAAGCATCTCTCAGATCCTCAGGTCCCTCCCTGCCTTTGCATATCTGGAGGTCAAAGCTCCAGGGGACCCAGTAGGTCCTATTGCCTTCTCCACAGCTTCTTCATGGCCAGGATCACTTCTTTGTTTCTCAAGGTATAGATGGCAGGATTCAGCATGGGAGTGACCATTGTGTACAACACAGAGACAACCTTGTCCATGGGGAATGTACGAAATGGCCTTGCATAGATGTAAATGCAAGGCACAAAGATTAAGGTCACCACGGCAATATGGGAGGCACAGGTGGATAAGGCCTTCTTGCGACCCTCCCATGAGTGGCTTCGGAGCATGACTAGCAGTGCTGTGTAGGATACCAAGAGCACCAAAAAACACACCAGAGTCACCAGGCCATTGTTAGACACCATTAGTAGCTCTAAGACAAATGTATCTGTGCAGGCCAATTTGATCAGCTGAGGCACATCACAGTAAAAGTTGTCCAGTTTGTCAGGCCCACAGAACGGCAGCTGAATAGTCAGTCCAACTTGTACAATGGAGTGAATGAATCCCCCCACCCAGGAGGCTGCCATGAGGAGCCCACAGACTGCTCGATTCATAATAAGTGTATAGCGCAGGGGCTGAGAAATGGCAACATAGCGGTCATATGCCATGACAGCCATCTTGATGCCTCCAATGAAGTGGAAGAAGAAGAGCTGAGTCAAGCAGCCACCAAAGGAAATGATGGGGTTGCCTGAGAGCAAGTCAGCCAGCATCTTAGGGGCAGTGATAGAAGAGTAGCAAAAGTCCAGGAAAGAAAGATTGCCCAAGAGAAAGTACATAGTTGTGTGCAGGCGTGAGTCAGAGGTTACTATGGCCACAATGAGGAGATTTCCAGTTACGGTCGTAAGATACACAACAGAGAAGACAATGAAGAAGAGGAACCGAAGTTCCCATACCTGAGAGAGCCCCAGGAGGACAAATTCTGTCACCTGAGAATGGTTCATTGGATTCTTCTGCTTGTTATAATCTGGTAAATAAACCTGCTAAGAAACATGGACATATTCATCATGCAATCCACATCTGTGAAATAATTTTCTTTCCCAGCTCTGAGGAATTCTCCCCTATCTCATTTACCATAAGAAAAATGTTGTAAGTGGTTCTATAGGACATCAAGTATTTGATTATCACATGTTGTTATAATAAAACATCAGAAGCATAAAACTCAGGGATGCACTGACACTACTTAAATTTTATGAGAATCAAAAATATTTAGCTCTCAAAAACTGAGTGGTATATAAAGGAAAGATCACTAAACTGAGAGTGAATTTTTAATTTTCCCAGTAACAAATGAAACAATCTTCTGAAATTCTCTAAGGTTCACTTTCCTTATCTATGATATAAATTAGCCAAAAGGTCTTCAAAGTATCCTGTAGTTTAATATTTTAAAACTATATGTGGCTTTTTTGAGAAAACTTGATAAATCCCCACATGCCAGATATTTAGACAGAATTTCCATAGGATGACAGATCTCTACTTATATACCAAAACAACAAACCATGCAAGTCGCCTATCATACCCTTGGAAAAAAATTCAGTTGTCTTTTGAGCTAACTCTCCCTTGGAGTTATGTTTTCAGCCCCAGGAGGATGCTAAAGTCATGACCGAGGGAACAAAACAGAAAACGCAGTTCTTGTACTTTATAAGGGTAGTAGAGAACTACTGTTTTTCTGAAGTTAGATAAGAAAACATATGATATGGCTCTGAGAAACTCAGAAAAACTATTGTCCCCAAAGAAAAGAAGGAAGAGCAACTAGAATATTAAACCACCCCTGAAGAGTTTGAGCATCAATATTAATTTCATAGAATCATCTAAAGAATAATTTCTTATTCTTATAAGAAGCAGAAAGAGGAAGCCATAAATATTAATTAAAGTTTAAAAATCACTATCTAAATGCAAAGCTGTCTCATTTAAAAACCTTGCAAATAAGGTTTTTATATATTTAAGTGGGATGTTTTTATATATTTAAGTATTTTTAAAGATACTAAGAAAGCTGGCTATTTATAAGAATCCTGGAATTAATTTCTTCATATCCTTTAAGAGAAATGTAAATTACCATTCCAAATTTAACTTAATTTTAAGTATGACTTTTCAATTACATTTTCCTTCCATTGTTCTTTTTTCATTTAATAAGCATTTATTAAGCACTTTGTATTTACTAGGCACTATGCTAAACACTAAGGATTTTACAAAAATAACACACAAATGATTTAATAAGACCAAGACCTTCTGACACTTGCCCACTTCTCAAGTTTTATTATTTTATACATAGGCCCTTTCACCAAACTATTTAAAGTTCCCTGAACTTTTCATGCTCAATACACTCTTCATTTATTTTCTTTGTTAATTTTTATGTATTAATTTTGCTTTCATTTTAATGAAACATTTCAAATACACAAAGTTGGCATTCCTAGTTTTAGCTTCAGCATGTGAAGAACTTGGAAATCAATATTTCTATTTTTAAAACAAGAAAAAGCTAAACAAACCAAAGGTCAATGACTTTTCTTAGACCCATCAAAGAACTAGGGTCATAGGGCAAAACCCTACCTCAAAACCTAGAGAGATAAGAGAAGCACAGAGACTCATAGTAGAGATCTGCTTACCTGAAGCAGCATCCACTGGAGTCATAAACTGGTAAAAGCACTTAAATGGCAATTTTGATGATTTGTTGGAAGCTGAGTGTAGACTAGCGTGTGAGTTGGAAACTCCCGGGGGCTTTATATTTAGGGAGACTCAATATTTTTGTGGTTTTAATCTCTAAGAACCCTACAAGTCTCTCACACTAAGGAGTGAAGAAAGATATTCTTCAGGGT